TCCTAAAATTAAACATTGTTCACGAGCCCCGCAGCTCGAGTCCGAGTCGAGTCTGAAGTCTTTTGAGGACGGATGGAATTGCCAATAAATGCTGAAAGGGGAATCAGCTGTGTCAGCTGATGTGGCTCGCCTTGAGATGGGTTGCTATCAGCTGATGTGCTGGGGTTGTGAGATAAACTAGACTAGAGACTTTACGGCCTGCCTGAACTAATGCTATGCTCAATTTCTGGTCAAATTTAAATTCTGACCTGACGTTACGGTTAGGGTTAGATTAAAAAAATGTAAGGGATCACCAAACTACAGGATTCGTTCAAAAGAAACAAAAATGTCAATGTGCTGGTGGCGCTAGAGAAAAGGTTTAGTCTAAGCTTGTACCTTATGTTCTCAACCTTTGACAAGTAGGTAAGTTAGTACTAATGACATATAGCTAATTAATATTACTAATGTTACTTTGTTACATTCTTAATTTAAGTAACGTTAAAAACGTGCTGTACAGGGGAGATGTTAGTTAGCCCCAACAGCCTTCTCTTTTCCAGCAGTTGGGGAAACTACAGACTTTTATTAACGGATACACTGTGACCTACCCTGCACAATTACTACCAGGCAGACACTTTACTGCTAACATTTTTCTTCGCTACCTTTCACTGTCATGTTCTACTGCTCGCTCTCTCTCTCGCGTTAAGTGTTACCGCGCTCACACAGTGTGTGAATAAAATCATTACTTGCGCATTGATATTAATGATTGTGTGACATTTTAGTAGGTTGGTTATCCATTTTGCAGAGGTGGTGCTCCGAATACAGGGGGAACACTGGTCTCTCTGTTATGTGCGAGCCACAGACGGTCCGGGCGCTGCACTTCCGCGGGTTCTGCCTTTTGCATTCCATCAACATAAACAATCGATTGTTTGACATTTTTTAATCAAGTCAGAATCTTCCACGTCCGCATCACAATGCTTCTAAGAATTATGATACATGGACCTTTTGTAATGCCATAACTATCTTCTAGTCACCACTGTTACATTATTTTGGAAATTCATTCAAAAACATGACAGCATGTTGGAACTACCTTCTAAAAGTTTGTTATACGCAGTTATAACCACGCAAGTTGATTCTGGCGCTGTGGGGCTGTTAACATGGATTTGTCTATGTATTCCTTCAACAAGTCCGATTTCTGTTTTAGTTGAGGGTCTGTCTGGCCAGCACATAGGATAAACACAAATGAACACAATTCACCACAGGCCTAATATTTCTGTTACTGTTATACTGAGCTATCAAAATCAATTTGAAAATCATGTGTTGGGCTTGAAGTGGTTGTCAAAGTCAAACCAGGATCTCAGTAAAAAAAAAGTAGTAAGTAAGAGAAGAGCGGAGGGACTGAGGCAACAGAATGTGAAGACTGTGAGACAGAGGGAAAGAGAGAGATGTGAGAGTGTAAATAGTGAGAGCCAGTATGTTCCAGAGAGTGTGACAGACAAGAGCATGCGAGTGCGTAGGTTATGTGCCTTTACGATCTCTTAACGTATCGGTGAGGAGAGTGACAGGGAGATTGAAATGGAGGAAGCGAGGAATTAATGAGAATTCATTTAACCTCTAGGGTGCACATTCATCTGCGTTCCAGAGAGCGTACCCGCTGAATTAAATCACATCTCATACCCCTGAGCAGAGCAGCGGAAGGAGTCGATGGGCTCGGTCTGCCCTAGCAACAGCAGACTCAAAACCTCCTCCTGTTTCTTTTTTCATCTCAAACCATCCTTATTCTGTAACTTCACCTGCCATTTTTGTCTCTATTCTTACTTAATTTCTTTTTTACCTTTCCTTCCCTTCTTAAATTTAATTTGGCTTTCTTTCCTTTCCATTCTGTTGCACCCATTTCCTCTACTCTACTTTCATTTCCTTTCCTTTCATTCGCTCTGCCCTTCTCTCTTTTCATTTTATTCTTTCCTCTCCTTCCCTTCCCTTCCCTAGCCTTTCCTCTCCTCTATTTGTCTCTCCTCTCCTTTTAGTTTCCTTTATCTTCCCGTTCTTTCCCGCTCTTCTCCTCTCCCCCTTGTGCTTTTCCTCTCCTTTCATCTCAGGCAATGTTCAGATTTCATAAAATAAAATGACGTGTGTGCATCCATTTTTAGAGAAAGTACAAGTACGACTGCATTAAAAACGTGCTTCAGATCAGTAAACTGCCTTTAATATCAGGGAGTATATTGAGAGCAGCCCTTTATTTGCTTTTTCAAAACGATAGACATGTCATTTTGGAATGAAACTTTTCAATTTCACAGAGTCAGTGGAAGAAAATAAGAGGACTTTGTTCTGATTCAATCTATTTGGAACCACTTTGCGAGCGCATTATCCCTTCACCGCCCATGATGAACAGTGCCAGATAGCACAGATCTATTCCACTGCACCTCAGTCTACTTGATTCCCTCGTCCAACGCAGAGAACATTTATTTTCTACCCTCTGTCTTTTACAACGAGAACAACAACGCTCCTCCATTAGTGTTTGTTAGGTTAAAGGAGGTCAATGAATTAATGGAAACGCCTTCACACAATGTTGTTGTTTATTTTCCATCTGAGATAATGCAAACGGGGGAAGCAGCAAAGGCCAGATTTGCTGGATAATGGTGTTTCAGTAGCTCTCTATCAAAGGCATTGGTTTAGAAAATAGGAGCCATATCTCAAAGTGTTTCAGTGTTCCTGCTCTCTGTCATCTGTTTTGCTTCGTCTGAATAATGCTCGTGCTGTCACATAATCTGCCCTACAAACTGTGGTGGATTTGCTTTGCTGTAATGTTTTTTCCAGCCATTGCTCTGCGTTTGTTGTCCTTTTCTCCTAGCGTCACATCTACGCACGTGTGTGTGTGAATGTTGTTTCTGTAATGCGTGTTTGTGTTTTTTGTGCTGATCCCACAGACGGCCTCTCAGCGCGCTGTACTTGTCTTATTAAATAAAGATCGAGGAAGACAAATGAATGCTAGAGATAAATGTGTTCCCCTGTCATGTCCCTGTGTTGTTCCTTTCAACAAGATGCCTCAAACACAGCTTCAAGTTCAAGAGTTCAAGGTACAGTAAACTTCAGGTAACCATAGCAACGGTGCTTCTGGGGATGTATTACTTAGGATGACCATATTTAGACAGATGGGGCAGGAGGCAGACAGACACCCGCAGTGGGTGGAAGGTTGGGGCTGGGGGGGTGTTATTTACAAGGCATGGAGGGTTTAGCTTATGTCTGCCTACAGTTGTTGTGTATAGTAGGCCTATTTGTAACATTTCAACAGCTTATTACTTGATATTTAACAACTTAACTGTTTTCTGTCTTGTTAAGATTTGATTACGGCCAAAATTAGTGTATTCATTATAATTTAAGATAAAAGTATCATACTAAGCTTTCCAAAAGTATAACATTAATTACCGACTGTAGAAAGCAAAACTCAAATCCCAGAAATTTGGGTCATTTAGAAATCCCAAATTTTTTAGGTCTCAAAAAAAGGACATGTCTGGGAAAAAGAGGACGCATGGTGACGCTACATAACTGAAACTGAAGTCTAAGACAGGATTTTTCCCAATTTGCTATTACATAAGCAAATGCTGTTGCATAGCCACCTACGCTACCTTTCTCAGCTCGCTTAACTAAACAACTTTATAACCATTGGTTTTTCTAATGGAAACATACTGATACATTGAAATATAGCAACAACAATGACTTCAAGACAGATGAGCTAGAGGTGTTCCTAACATCTGTAGAGAAATCCAAAGATGATCTTTTTGGGAAAGGTTCAACAACGCTAACTTAGGAAGTAAAAGAAAAAGAGTGGACTAAGCTAGCAGTCTCCACCATATGCGCTACATCTACCATAAGACTCTCAGTGAATAAGTTCCACCTGTTGACATTTTGTTGGTTGTGTAAAAGCAATAAGAGAGCAGCCACACTGACCAAAAAAGTTAGCTAACACTACCTGGCGGAAAAGTGAAAGTTACCACAGCTTAAGGGTTATCCTAAAGTTAGGAAAGTTTAATTAATATTTTAAGGAAGTTAGGAAGCTTGAGTCTTCAAGGACGGATCCTTTCTATATGAAGTTAAGATAGGAACATTGACTAACAACTTTTCATCTGTAATGGCATTTTTTCCTAAATCAGGTCCTAGCACCATTATTCATAAAAGTTAAGTAAGAACCTGCATGTTAGGAAGCTTCTTTAATACCAAGGCCAACTATACTAACTAAACTGACTTCTAACACACTTTAATTTTATTTTTCAAGTCAAAGTCAATTTACTAGTCAAAAGGAGAATTAATCAGCGAGCAAAAACAGTAGGGTCTTAAAATATAAGCGACATCAGTTGAGTAATCTCAGCTTGGCTCAGAAACTGCACATCTTGAAGTCAATGTTGTGTGTACATTCTTTTGATTTTCACTGCTGCTTAGTGTAACTACTGTCGCCCAGCCTGTTCTTGGCTTCTAACCTCCCCTGCACAGTGTTTTTCTTTGTATCAAGTTTTATTGTTGCTTTTTTTAGAATGTGTGAATAAACTAAACTAAACTAAAGATGCAGGCATTTACCAGGCAGGGAGGGTTTCATAACAGGTCAGACTACGGTTTGGGTTATATTTGAAAGACTTGAAGAGGGGGGAGACTTGTTAAAATATGGGGATGGGGCATATTCAGACAGTCTCTCCTGGAAGACATTGATAGTGATGCCCTCGCTTGTTCACATTGTCAGAAATAGCTGTGTCAAGAACGTCAAAAGAGAGCTAGGGAGAGAAGTTCAAACCCTGCTTACATTCTCTCCCCACTACAGCTGGCCAATCATGGCGGAAAGTGGGTGTGAATGTAGGATTGTTGGTTTTGTGTTATCACTTGCATATTGCCACTCCTTTAGCTACATATCCCCATTGCTTTGGGGAAATAAAAATGAATTTTGCTCTTGATCGGCTCTGATTTTCCTTATTAAACAACGTGCAAAAAGAAACCACAGTGAACCCATAATATATTGAGCCAAAAACAGGTCTTACCTGCAGGATCTTGCACCTCTCAGAGTCGCAGTCGATGTCCTCACAGGGATGAAACATGCCCAGAGTCACACAGTTCAGCAGGATCACCAGCATGGACGCTCGTTCGAACCATGTAGAGAACAATTGTCAAGGAACATAACGAGAGATAATAACAGCTTGCAAGTGTCAAAAGCTTACTGCAACAACAAGCAAAAAAACAGCATTTCTCCAGGGTTTCTCCAGTGACCTCATTATCTTATTCGAATTTCTAAACTCCTCTGACATAGTGATGCACATTTATCTCTTCCACCCCATTCACTATCAAAAGAATTTTTTTTTTCAAAAGAAAGAAATGAGCCACAGATGAACCTGGGAAGTGGGAAAACCCACCTGTGGCTGTTCTGAGTGGCAGTCATTGCTCCCATTTCACCCTGTTACCTAAACAGCTTTTTTGCAAGGCGTGTTGGAAAATGTTCAGATTGTTGGCGAGGGAGCCGGATTGGCACTTTAAAGAGATCGTGTGAGGTGAAAAAAGACAAGAGAGACAGGGAGGCTGACTAAGAGGAGGATGAAGGATCTGGAATTTTATTGACCACAGGGTCAAAGTGGGCATTCAGCCTGAGCTATGTGACACCAATCAATGAGCAGACCAAACAAACACAGATTAGGCTGATGCTGCTTCAATAAAAACACACACACACACACATACTATGACACAGATATGTGAGCTGCATGCATACACACAAACACACACCCACATATATTATAGATTGCTGCATCCACAGTCAGCACCCTACATCCAGCCAGTCTGTTTGTCATCCAAGTGTGTGTGTGTGTGTGTGTGTGTGTGTGTGTGTGTGTGTGAGAGAGCGAGAAAGGAAAACAGGGCCTTTACTCTGTGAATGTATGTGTGTAAAAGTGTGCACACAGGCCGCGAGGACAAACGACCTGTCCATCTTTTATCAGATTAGCTGCCACTTGCTCATTCATCCCGCTGACCCCATGATGCTGCTGGGTCAGAATTGCCCCACAGCCAGCACAAAAAAAAGGTGAAACCCTGACTTCTAACTTTCCTCTTTTATGCTGGTGAGGCTAGAGTTTCAAAGCAGAACGCCGGACAATCTAATAAAAACTGTGAAAGCAGGTATGTAATAGAAACACAGAGAATGTCAAATATCTCATTTATATAATATCTCCATATTTTTATAATAATCTGCAATTAACTTTAGGCTGTGCAAGTGGTCATTTTTGACAGTGTGGTCTCACTAAGGAAAAAGTCAGGAGGTCAGATTCATCAGGTTTCAAAGGATGAAACCTGATGAATCCGACCTCCTGAACTGAAACCTCCTTCCTTCGTCCTATGAGGAATATCCCATCTACATGTCATGGATATACAGTCAATAGTTTTCAAAATACAAGACATGACCCAAAGTGTTGGTCAAGGAGAAATAATGGAGGCATGACAGCATGCGTAAACATGCATGTTTCAAATACCATCACACTGTTCCCAGTTAGGGCACACCAGCATTTATAAGTGACACCCTAACCATTTGTTTTAATGGAAATGCTGCAGTCAGTGGATTTGTTAGCTGTGGCAAAGTAAATCTAGCTAAGCTTTGAGGAACTTTGCCCTCTCATTATTTTTTAAATGATTTATTCACAATGTTCATACATGGCAACTACAATATGGTTAAGGTTAAGGCAATTGAAACATAAATATTGAGGATATGGTAGGAAAAAAATAATGGTCCATCAGTAGTGGAGATAATAGGTTTTGCCCAGGGACTACAGATGGAAATGAGCTGGTAGCCAAATCGGGCACAAAGCATCTCCTCTGTTTTTGAGATTAATGTCTTTTGTACATGGTCTTTGATTTAAACACATTAAATAATAATAATAATGAGTCTCCCAACTTTATAGAAGTACTACAGTAAGTCAGGAGTGACTGTGAGGGTAAGGAAACTGTCTGTTGCAAGAAAGTCAGTGCTCAACCGCACTTCTCCCGAACCTTTACTTTATACCTCGCTGAACACTGCTTCCTGTGGTGGCTCTGAACATTGGACATAAATCATGTGTTGCAGAATCATCCAATTTGAATGTAATTCAAAGGGATACTGGGTTAAAACATGATACTCTGTGGTAGTTCCAATATCGTATTGAACAGGAATATTGAATAATAGATGCAGGCTGGAGGGAAGTTGAGCTTGTGAACCTCAGTAGCATCAGTTGGGTAATGACGGCTGCATCTGGAAGGCAGCACATGATTAAGTTACACACTGGAGGATGCACGGAAAGTTCTGTGAGTCCAAAGGGATGCAATTAAAAAGATCAGTCAGTTTGGAGAGTGGGATCATTACAGGAAACAAAAGCTCAGACACTCAGGCCTCTAGTTTAAGAGTGGTGGCAGTGAAAGTTTTGGGGAGAGCAAACTGTTGTCGACACGAGGTGGTGGCATCTGCAAAGGTCTGCAGCGAAGTACTGAGAAGGTGGGCACCTAATTAAAAATAATGAGCTGTGCAGGCTGTCTGTGTATGCACTGATGTCATCAGCGTTCATAAGGGCTAAACACAGTGATCAGTTAAGTTCAGTAAAGTTTCAGTTCAACAGCATCAACTATAAATTGACTGGTTTACAGTATGTTTCTAAATTGGCTTATTTCAGCAATTTCATTTCCTCCTCCATCAGAAATAATAAAAGGGGCATGACATGTCTGATAGCTAAATGAATTTCTGTGTAATGAGGGCAGCAGAATATATGTTGTATTATAGAACAGGAATGAAAAATGTTTTTTTTTACCCACCACCAGTAACCTGCAGCCGTCATGGCCAACTTTTCACTTTCTGAGGAAGTTTAAAAGAAAAGTTTTTTTACAGAAATCCAAAACACACTTGAATGAACATTATAGTCTGCTGGGTTGTGTGTGCTATTAATGTTAATGCATAAGAATAAGCTCCCTAGCCTTAATGTACTGCAAAACAGACTGGTAAGATTGACTCTAAACTTCACTCTCAAAGTTATACTCATAATATGAGAGCGGCTAACATTCTTCAGCTTCCTTTTTTACAAATCCAAACATGGCCAGTGCTCTTTCAGATATTGCAAATACAGATCAGGAATGCCAGAGTTAACTTTATCAAGAGCTCACTGCCTTGAAAGATTTAAAGAGTAATTGTCATCACATTCAATCAATGGTGTCTAATTAGTTCTTGATTATGTCTAATTAATTATTATGTATGCGTGTTTTGAAATATTTATATGATTATTTGCTGCTGATTTGGTGAACTTTTCTGTGTATTTTGTGTGTTTCTTATTGTCGTTCTTTGTCAATCACATCTATTTTATTTCTAATATCTGGTTTTATGTTGTTTTATATACTGAAAATCAAAAAAAGCATTTTGCATAGCAGTATGTATGTTCAGTTTAGGAGTCATAACTTAAAATAATCTGCTAAATTTTAACACATAACTTTATTCTGATCCTTAACATATTTTAACACTATAATATTATAATAATATTCCTGTAGTACTGCAACCCATGATATCGCTCAGCATTGTATACCATATGATATTATCAAATTCACTGTTTGCATCAGTATCGGTCTAGCATTGGTCCTACCCAGTACACCACACCCAGTAAAGTATGGCATTTTGATACATACATACACTATAACACAAAAATGTGACATTTTGCATTGGTATTATTTTACTGCCACCAAACTAATGAATTCAAACTTAACAGTTCACTGATGAATCAATTAAGTGGGTTTTTTTTGCCACAAGTCTAGTATAATAAGCAGACCTTATTTTAAAATTTCATAGAATAATAGTTTTTTCCTAGTGCAAAACTTGCATTCAAAACCTGTATGTTCCACTGATGTCTGTACCACAATAGAATCAAAAGTTGTCCTCATTAAAAGGCACTTGCTTCCTCTGCACAGGTCAGCATTAAAACTCTAGCTCTCGTAACATTCAAAGAAAAAATGTACAAGCAAAACTACAGCACCTTGGTAATAGAGCATCTGAATCTGAATCTGCTCATACTATATTTTGCACAAAGGAAGGCAGCTCTATTGTTATTGTGCTATTGAAGTGCAGTATGTGATGGTCAGGTGCTCAAAGCTTTTCCTTGAGCCTCTCAGCATTCTGCACCTGCTGCAAAATTGGAACAGGACATAGTAGTGATCTGACAGATGAGGATGGTGTACAACTTAAAATGTTCTTAGTAGTGACAGACAGAATTAAGGATAAAGGAGTAGAGTTCTACATGTAGTTTTAGCAGTAACTGGTGGCTGTGGCACAGGGAGTGGAGCGGGTCATAATCAGAAAATCGGGGGTTTGATCCCTGACTCCTCCATGTGCATGTTGAAGTGTCCATTTTTATTCATCCTCACTGCTCTCGTATGGTGTCGCTTTCAGCTGCAGCAGGCAGATGCTGAAAACTGAAAGCACTAAGGTAGCAACTAGCTAGAGAGCTAAAACAGCTAAACAGCTAAAGAGACAAATCATTTCCTTTTGGTGGAGACCAAAAACAGAACAAAAAAAAAAGCGAATATTGGACTCACGTTTGCCAGGTGGACAGAAACACAGCTCCAAATAAATGCTCTATATCTGCTGCATATGTAAGGAAAACATCATCAGTAGCTTTTGGTAGCTACTGTTAGCAGAGTTTTGATAGATCTTGCTGTTTAGATAGATCTTGCTGACTATTTGGTATTTCTGAGTTATTTTGCTAAATTTATAATTCTCCTCCACTTGTGCTACTGTTATGAGTCCGCATTTACCACAATTCTGTAATTGCCAAATGGCAACAAGTCCCCTTTTACAGCGCTAATGCTAATATTGCACATTTCCCAAAATTAATGAAAAATACAATACATGGAAAGTCATTAAATGTGATAAATGTTTTAAGAAATTCTAAAATAGGAAGTAAATTTAAAAAGGGGGTCCTTTTTAGGTAGCTGACAGGAGTATGAGATGTGAATATCAAAAGGGGTCACCAGATTACTTTATGAGCTAAAATCAAGCTCAAAAACAACATTGGCAATACAAAGAGGAAAATCAGGATCACAGAGAGAACTCAGACCTACAGAGAAAGTAGATGCGCCTCTCTTCCTACAACTGACAAGGCGAGGGA